GAGGTTGGTTGGCTTTGGTTTGGTGGAGGATTAATAGCATCCAGAGTCTTCTAATTGCTATATGTCCTCTTCTTCTGGGCTAGGAGCCAGTCATAGCCTGCCTGTTACCTTGGGTGGCTATTGCTAGGGAAGGCATCACTGTTTTACTTTAATTCAATCTATATCATATATATAATATATATAAATCGGGTTTGTGCAAGGTGAAGTGAATCCGTGGATGCTTTAATAAGCGACAGACTTAAGTTGGAAGATAAAATCACTGATGCAAACTTATCCGATGACTGGCAGTCTATTTCAAGTAAAACGAGCAGAAATTTCATATAAAATGCTGACCAACTCAGCGCATTTTTGAGTGATTCGTGAATTATTGGTAAGGCTGTTCGCTTAAGTTGTTCAATGATTGCGGCAGACGCAACAGGGCATCTATCTCCATTCATATAAATGAATCATAAGTGAATCATATAAATGAGAGTAATTTGTTATATGGTGACACATATTCACCCTCAATTACATATTCATGATTAGATTCATGCATCCTTATGTTTGATTCAAGCACTCAAAAATGACTTAAAAAATGCTGAAGGCTACATCATATCTGCAGGAAAAACTCCAATCTGCTAGCCGATGAACATAAAATGCTGGCACTATATGTGAATCATAGCTTTATTTGTCTTTCCACTGACTATGATGAACTTCAATCAGATCAAATTTACATCCATGCACCCATACACACACAATCCACCAAGAAAAGCTTCACGTTCCTCTCTCTTTCTCGTTCAAGTAGAAATGCGGGTAATAAACAATGACTCTTTTTCTCCTTTTTTAGCGTGGTTTCTCTGTCTCACGGACATCGTCACAGTTTTGGGGCCCGGAAGGCACTCAACCAAAGGCGCAAGAGAACTGCCGACGAGATCAACCAACAAAATATAGATTCATTGTGTAACACATAATAGATTCTCTTTCTGGGAAGAGACGATTCAAGTCAATAGAGTTACGTCAACTCTCGCAAGAAAAAAAAAGACCAACCAACGCTCTATAAAATAAAAAAAAAGACAGGATAAGAGAGATCTTTGGTGTGAATTCATGTTTATACAGTGACGACGCCTACGTGACAGGTACGCTCAATAAATGCCTCCTGGAAGTGAAACAGCATGGCGAAAATGGAAGGCACTGGCGGAGTGGAAATTTCTCCTGATCGTTAAGGCACTTGTAGGTCTAAAAGGCACATGGGAGTGAAGGACAACGGAGATACGATGAGAAACCAGAGAGATGAAACAGAGAATAGAGAAAACATTTTTGCCTATGTTACACGACATGCTTTGGTATGTCCAGGCGTTTTCTTTGTGATCAGAATATATCCATATGAACACCATCACATTGAAACCAGCCTCTTCACGAAGGCTGGGACGTGAGAACCAGGACCACGCCCGTGATCCTCATCGAGTTTTTTTTTCTTTCTTTTTTTTCTTTTTGGTCCATCATGACTAAAAAAAGGGAACCACCAAGGACTTGATCCATGGTAGAGGACAGGGGGAAGCAAGACACCACAACCCCCACATTTCAGTCATCCTCTTTCTTGTCCGGCTTCAAGTCCACCATGGCGTGGATCTCCTCCGGTGTATACCTGGAACAAGAGATATATATCTCATAAGGACTAATTTCAGTACTCATTAAGCGATACTTTAGTACACTGATAACTGACACAATACAAATTAAAGAATACACAATCATTAGGGGGAAAAAATGAAGTGGATTCATAAAAAAATGTGCAAAGGTCCCGACATATTGTGTAAACCGGGATATTTGAAACAAAAGTCATTGTTTCTTGCAAAAAGTAGACAATAGGACACATGCCAAGCTAAGGATTGAATAGGAAATCCTTGGATTGCTCCTTTTTCTTTCCCAATAACATCATGGAAGTGGGGAATGAGTAAGAAGAAGAAGATTTGTGTACAAAGTAAGCAGGGATTGCTTGCTCCCCTTTCTCTTGCTTCCTGTGTTGACATGTGGCATCCAACCATGCAAAAACCTTGGTGAGACCTCACACAGACACTGAGATTCCCCACATTTTTCCCCCTCTTGTTCTGTTCGCGTGGAAGAGACTCTTACCCGAGGAGGCTCTGAAGATCACAAACGAATCGGTAGACGTATCGCTTCCCAGCCGTCTTGTGGATGATGTTCTTGTCGTAGTAATAGCGCAACCCGCGACTCAGCTTCTCGTAGTTCATCTTGGGCTTATTCTTCCGGATGCCCCACCGGCGGGCCACCTCGTCCGGGTCGGTGAGCTTGAACTCCCACCCGTCCCCCGTCCAGCTGATGAACCCCTGACAGGACTTGTCCGTGAGGAGCTCGAGGAGGAATTGCCACAGCTGGATTGGACCTGACCCCGTGAAGCACGGCCCCAGACCTGATCCTTGCGAAAGGGAAACGTATCATCATAAAAGCATCCTGGATGAATAAAAATTACCCGACAAATGACCAACAAAAACACACTGATCAATGAAAACATTATCCTGAAATAATTGCATATTACACATGCAAACCATCATGATGCGAAATAAATATTGCATGAACTCAAGATGATTGTGATACGGCAAACAAGCAAAAATACATCATGACATTCAAGAATAAAAATTACTCTGCAACTTTTATTTAAATAGACCTAGCATACCGCAATGATTGAACACGAATAAGAAGCTTACCATTGTAGTTGGCGAGAACAGGCTGAAGAGCGGGTTTGAGGTCTCCCGATAGCGCATTGGGAGTGTGGGCTGGGGAAGGGTGGGGGACTTCCCTCCCGTGCATGAACGCTGGGTGGGGGTGGGGGTTATTGGGGTGGGCGCCCCAGGGGCTCTCTCCCTGCGGTACCGTCTGATAAGGGGAGTCCAGGGGATTCATTCCCCCTCCTCCACCCCCACCGCCTCCATTCCCCAGGTGAGGATGCTCGGAATAACCGTCGGGGATCCCCACGCATCCTGTCAGGGGATAGAAAGAAGGAACACATTTTCTAACAGGCTCTTGTCTGTTGATTCACCCTCATAATGGGTGCCCCCTCCCACATCACAAACAATTCCCTCTACTAAACGGGCTATAAAGATGAAACACAAGAGCGCCGCTCACATGCACACAGACTCTCTCTCGCTCTCGATAATTGGATAATATTCTTTCTTGTGGTCGATGGAAGCAGTTACAGATTACTAGTGATGGAGCCAACATCCAACCAGACCGTATCATGCCTGGTTATGCGGTTAATATTAGAACTATAGGATAACGGCCTAGGTAAGCTCTCATCTGCTGAAAATATTTTTTTTTCTCTCAAATCAGCCGACAAACAATATCTAGCGGATTCCCCAAAATGCCTATTAAAAAAACGTGCCCCCATTTATTTATGTAGATTGGTCGCACAGTTGGTCGTTGGATCGTTGTTTCTCTTGGATTGAACACAGTTAATCGTAATTATTTTAGCATTTAGGTCTATCATCATGCCGACTAACGGCCAACCTTGGCCCATGATTGACTGTCCCAGGATACTCAATGATATATCAGTTACCAGCAACCAGCAATTTCCACATCGACCCATCCAAGAGTCCATCACTACACTTACATTTTATTTTAAAAGTCAACTAAATGGAGACCTGTAATATCTCAACGCATTCAGAACGAGAAGAGGGAACAGAATAGAATGAAGTCTACCTCTGCTGAGGTAAGAGTGAAGATGACTCTTGAAGTGAGACGGGTGATGTTGGTAGAAGGGTTCGGGATTCCCATCCAGGTAAGGATGGGGGAAGTCACCGGTCGAGTCTGAAGGCTCGTAGGGATGAGGCACATTGTTGTAACCCGTGGTAACGTCCATGGCCGAGGTCGTCGTGTGTCCATTCGTGTGGGGGTGCGGGTGCGGGTGAGAGTGGGGCGTCCCACCTGGAGGAGGCCCCCCGCCGCCCCCCGCACTCAACTCGCCCATTCCTGACATGCACTCATTCCCACCGTAGCCATCTATACGCACACGAGGAGGGAAAAAGGGGAAAAAAATCTCATCAATCTCATCATCATGGTCAAATAGGAAAGATGATTACGTTCCGAGGCACGTTCGGGAAAGTTCCAAAGCACGTTCGGGAAACATGGACAGGAACCGCCCTCGATCAGGTCAGACGAGGAAAAGTAGATTTTCCCCTCTTCTGCCCCCTTTTCCTTTTTTTCCTTATGTGCCCCAGGACAGCCATAGAGGAAGAGGCCGAGAAAGAAAGGGTGTTCCCTCTCCGACTCAAGGACTTACAACTACTCTACTCTGACCTTCAGGCCCAACAAATCATCCACCCCACTGCCCCCACAGACCAGAACAGAAAAAAGTCTCGGTGACCAAATTACCACGATTAGGGTTACAAGAATAAAATAGCTTTATAAATAAAAAAATATATATCGATTTTAAAATGGCAAGACGTCAGACACATCAAGTGCTCACAAAACGCCAACACGGAAAAGATGGCAAGAACGTGCCTACTTCAATAGGTCTAAATAAAAACCAGAAGCCTACACAAAGAGAGATGATGATGGGGGAAGGGGGTCATTCATTGTATCTGCATGGGATTCATTCACTGAAGTCACGGCTGGTGATGATGAGAGGGATAATGAGACGCGCGAGTGGAAATTCCCATTGTTCCGACGCGACCACGAGGATCGGCCTTGAAAAAGTCGGCGAGACCGAGGAAAAAAAAAAGGAACCCGAGACAAGACAAGAGAGAGAGAAGGCCCATCATCATCATCACCACTGTCATCATCGTGCCCCCAGGAGCAGCGCCTTTGGGCCGGAGATACAATTGGCCCCGACAATGAACGTCAATTGCCGATCCGAATGAGACTCGCCGATTGAGTCAATGAATGAACGAACGAACAAATGGATGAAAACCGAAGAGAAAAAAAGTCTTGAATTGCAAGCAAGATGAGTTGTAAGGAGAAAGCAAACATGGGAGCGGTGTGCGAACAAAGCTCTTTGTTTCATCTTCTTTCCCTTCCCTCCCTCGTTCCTCATCCGATCGCGTAATTTTTTAAGCTGAAAATCATCCTCATCAAAATCATTATCATCGTTACCTTGACTACCGAGGATCTCGTCGAAAGGCACCGAATTCGCTAACAGGCCCGATCCACTTGTGTTGCCAGGAGAGCGCCCCCTATCCTCTAACGAGAAAATTAGGCCAATAAGGGAAAAGATGCTCAGTCATCCACCCCCACACTCAGATTCCGCTCAGAATCGAAAATCCCGCTTTCCCTCTGGGGAGCATTGGAGCAAAATGAAAACAGGCATCTTGGGAACAAATTTCAGTGGCCTTATTCATTGTTTTGATAAGGAACAACTTTGTCCTTTCCTTCCCCAATGCAATCGGAAAACGGCATAAATATAAAAATTAAAATGTTGAATGAGAACCCGAATCCCGTGCAACAGAGCGAAGGAAAATTCTCGCGGCACAGGAACGGTGCATGTAATAAATTCACGGGTACAGCTTCGAACAAATGTAGAACTAGTGGCCAAGAGTCTGAAACTTTCAGATATTGTCACTTTCAAGAGTTTCCTAGACATAAGTCTACCTCTTCCCCTTAAAAATGATCCCGACTATCGCTTTCTTAGTCGGAGTCTCGTTCACTGGCTTCGTCAATGGGCCACTAATTTCCCCGGAAGATGAGCTACCTTTTGGCTCGTCGACATCGAGACCTCTTCGGCCTCAGCCATTGCTTAGAAAGGTTTTTCTCTCTCCGCAAGCTATTGAGGTCGCGGCTGTGTAGACGCTCCGTTCTGGTGGTTTGCAAACTGCAATTGCAAATTACTTCCACCCCTAAAACCGCTTCCATGCCAATGATGTGGAATTGCCTCAGAGATTCACCGCTACAACAAGAGAGGCCATCAATAGAGAGGATCCTTCAAACCAAAATTGGTCATCGTCAGCCGCTCTCTGGAATGTATATTTAAATAAAACCCTTCAAAACCCTCTTTACCCGGGGTAATGCATGGAGAATGCGTCTTTCAAAATCCTAGCAAAATCAAACTCATTGAAATTATCCCCGTCACCCAAGAATTTAGTTTTTGTTTTCAAGTCCTTTGGGCTATGGAAATAAAATCCCATGACTCAAATCTCATAGCCACAAACTCAATTGTTGTCTGGCAAGAAGAGTCTGCGTTGGATGAGAAAAAAGACAACAAACTTGGAACATGAGCGCCCACAGGGCAAGAAAAACCAGAAACCAAGTTCTCTTTTCAGTTCCAAGGGCAGAGTGGATAACCATGCAGAGATTATCTCAATCAAAAGGAGCGAAGAGACTGATTCTGCAGGGGGGAGGCAAAACTGCAGCATAAAATCCCTACAGATAGTCAGTTTCTCCGCACATGAAATTCAACTCTGGTTAATGAACTCCATCCGTGAGTTCCCACGGTGCGCTCATACCAGTGGGTGCGCGCTCAGTTACAGCAATCAGTGCGACTGCGTTCACCATATTTTCGAGCATATACCTTTTTTTCTCGCTTAGTTGGGTCTTGTTCCGCCTACAGTTTCCTCACATCCGCGTCAACTTGAGTGGGGAAAACCTCAATATGAAAGTCAACATCTCTGTGGCAATTGTATGCTATTCCTTCCATGACATCGGCGCAGAAAACAGATGCTGAGGGAAACGAGGTAATACGGGCATCTTCCTGTCTGTCTTTCTTCCTTTCATTCGTTCATCCCATCTCCAGGCGGATGAATGGCTCCTAAATAAACGGCCGATGAACTTGGAAAGAAAGGAGAGAGCGGAGGATTCCCTTTCCTCTTCGCTCAGCCTGTCTGCAAGAAGTAACGAACCTCCCCTTCTTTCCGGACGCTTTTTCCTCCCTTCAGTGCCTTTTCTCCCCTCCTATTCTCCCTATGAGGGCCTTTCTGCATTTTTCCCTCTATCTCCCTTTTTCTAAAACTCTCTCAGCCGGCGTGGCGGTGTTACCCCTCGGTTACCATATGAAAGGAGCAGAAGAAGAAGAAGAAAGCAGAAAAAGGTCTCCGAAATACCCGAAAAGCCTGTGGACCCCTGCCACATGGGTGGGGCTGAGGGGGGCAACCGGAAGGGGAACAAACATTAACAATACACTTCCATGTGCCAGGATGTTTGACGAAGAATTTCCATAACACGGAACGCTCTCTCTACTAAAAAAAAAAAAAAAGAGTGGGGGGGAGACACACAGACAGCGAGAGATGCTGGAAACAAACATCATCATCTCATCTTCCCATCTCCCCGCACACACAGACCCGACATCAAAAGCACACACTCACTCCCTTTCACAAAAAAAGGTAACTTTGCACAAAAAAAGAACAGTGCATGAATGCACAGTGCACAGGGTGCATACGGACCCACGACTGAGTGCACCACTCAGGGGCTCGTGCCCTCCTCTCTCCCTCTCTTCCACACATCACACATACACACACACAAACAGAAAAAGAAGAGGAAATGACACTTGGGCGGGAAAGCCGACAGGTCCCCGTGATAAGAAACCTATAGCCTACACACACAGAGAGAATAGGGAGAGTTCGATGGCTCTGACACGCCATCAACTATTTCCTCCCGTTACACCCCCACGCATCCACTGGAGGGGTGTTTAAATTTAAGGTTTTTAAAACACGCCACCGCGTCAGAGACAGAGGTGCTACTGTATGGTTCCTAGGAGAGAGACAACATAGGAGTCTCCTGATTGGAGGGATGAGGTTTTGTTCCCGGGACCCCCAGTCCCATCCCACGACCTTCGACACCGGTCGGCCTTTCCCACTCGGATTTCACGAAGGTCATGGCCTTTGGCCCAATTCGGGAATCCGAACAGAATCCCCCGACCGGGATAAACGACACCCATTTATTAGATGGCTCCTAATTGGTAATCAAGGAATCATCCCCCTGCCATATCACGTACAAAGTATACCGTATTACGTGATGGGAAAGCGCTCACATCTGTCTCCGCTCTTTCCGCTCATTGACACCATTGACGCTGGATTGCGTCATATGGGATCATTATACACGGTAACCTCATTAGGAAATTAATTTTGAAAAAGAAAAAGAAAAAGGTGAGGAGGGGGATACAGCTTCCAAGCTGAACTAAGCTGTCTTGCATTAGAGAGTTATGGAGGGGTGACAGACATTATGGCATGAATGCACACAGGGATAGTGAGGAAATATTTCCCAGAATTAACGTCAGTCGAGATGAAATGGCGTATATCAAATGTATGTAGGGAGAGGGGCGGGACCAATTTGCCAGAGTAGCGGATCTTTCTGTCATGAACACGTAGTGTGAGTGCGACCGATTACGTCCAGGGGTCAGCAACAGGGACACACGTTCCCACCGTACTCTCTTTTCTTTATGCTCCCATCTGGGGGGGGGGGGGGGGGGGGGGGGAATGTTGTGGGTTGGGGGGGGGGGGGGGGGGGGGGGGGGGGGGGGATGATGAAGAAGAAGAAAAAAAAGGCCACCTTCTGTCCGGAATTTCGTAATGTTCTCTAATAGTTGAAAACGGGCATTGTGGAGATACCTTCACGGTGAGACGCGGGTGGGAAAGATAGACAATAATTCGGCCCGGATGTTCGTTGCCGAACGTCATACAATACCGTGTCTCAATCTCAACACTCGGAGACACCGTTACTCGATCCCAACAATGCCTTGTTGAGACACCTTGTCTCTTGTGTTTGTGTGTGGTCGGGGATTCGCCACGGATCTACAGATAGCCGTATCGAGGTCGGTTCCTGTGAACCTCACTTTCCCGTTCTCCAAAGAAATAGCAGGGAGAAAAATAATCGAGAAATGGATTCTGGAGAATCTTGACGAGACGGAAAGCGAGAGAGTGGGAGAATGGTCGTGAATGGGCTGCGACAGGCCAACAATATGAGAATAAAATGCTTCTTCCCTTCATCCGTTAGATCAAAATGGCTTTTCCCAACAAGTTTAGGGCTTACGTAGGCTGATCAAAAGGAACGGAACTTCGGCTGCAGCTCAAATAATGCTCGTTGAAATCGTTGACCACACTGCAGGCGTCAACTGTATTCACTTAGCGACTCATGGCAAAAACTTCAGTTGTCTGTTTATTTAAGGAACTTTTTTGGTGATCCAAAGAAATTTCCACGGCGGATTTTACTGGAATGCCAGCGCTGGAGCAAAGGGCAAACATAAAGCTCTGAAAATAGTTCACTGAGACTCTCGAACTTTTGCAGCAGATGTACCTACGTACAGCAGGTGCTTGCAGCAGATGTCTGTGCGTACATCTGTTGCAAAAGCTCGAGAGTCTCAGTGAACGATTTTCAGAGCTTCATGTTTGCCCTTTGCTCCAGCGCTGGCATTCCAGTAAAATCCGAAGAAAGTTACTATGACAATTTCTTTGGATCACCAACAGATTTCCTTAAATATTAGACGACTGAAATTTTTACCATGCATCGCGAAGTGAACATAGTTGACGACTGCAGTGTGGCCAACGATTTCGATGAGCATAACTTGAACTGCAGCCAAAGTTCCGTTCCATTTTGATCAGCCTACGTATAGCTTACACAATTTTTCATGCGTATGAATTCTGTTTATTTTCTTGATCCTGGGCAAATCCTGGACCCAAATTATGCATAATAATATCAGAATTAATCAGTCAGTCCAGTCTCTCTCTCTCTCTCTCATCCCAATCTCTTCCTGCTGTATATGAACCATTCCATGGACTCACTTTCATGGAAGGCTCCTGAGTCTCCATTCCCAGGGGAGTTCTCCATCTTGAGAGACATGGTGGTCCCAGTGTAATGTGGGGCGGAGTGGGGGAGGATCTGCGCGGGAGAGGAGACTAGAGGAGGCGGCGGCCCCGGGGGTGGTGGTGGTTGCTGTGGTGGTCGGCGAGGAGCCGTCCCTGTCCCTGGGAGATGTGGGCTTGGGGTCGGCGCCTTCATCCCGCCGCTCCCACCCTGACCGTGACTTTGGCCCTGACCCGACGTACCCTGGGCCTGACCCTCGAGGAAGGCGTGGAGGTCCGTCCCGGCGCACACGGACTCGTAGACCGTTGGCGGGACGTTGGCCAGAGATGCCCGCTCCCGGTCCTTCTCGATGTCTGCGGTAGTCCCAGAAGAAAAAACATCCATCCATGATCCGTACAGGACTTGGTGGTCGTAATGAGACACCGACATGCATCGCATATATGTCGCAGCATGCATTCAACGTCTGAATAAAAGACTGAATGAATGAGAGAGTGAAGTGCAGATCAACAGTTCCGCCATCTCGGGATGACATGCAGTTAACGACATAATGGCCTCTGGCACTGGCACGACTCCACCCTTCAACCGCCCTGGAATTAGGCCTTGTCTCTCTCTCTCTTTGCATGGTGAAGCACTCAACTGTAGACACCACTGGATTTATACTCTACATACGCGGCTTTGTTTCACCCCCCCCCCCTCCCTCCGTCTCACTACTGCGTCATACACACCCTTCAAGTTGCGGTATGTACAATGAGCATGAGGTGGCATTACTTTTTTGGGGGGGCTCGTGCAGGGAAGCGCCGATATTTCACAACAAGCGTCACTTCACAGATGTAGCCAAGGGGCCGGGTTGTTTTAGGTTTTAGGCATCCCTATCCGTGGCATTGGGAGTGTCGATGGGTGGGTGAATTGGAATTTCCGTGCGGCATGAGCCGGCAAACGAGGAGACGATTCACCACGGTTAATGAATCACCAGTCGGCAACCCTTATTGTTTCCCCAACAACTCTTCCCAGCATGAAACGCCCACCCACGTCCCAGTGTGCGCGACACATTCACACATGTTTCGCCAATAAGCCCCCCCCCCCACCCTTACCTTTCAAGGCCCTTGGAAGGAATGAATTGAACTCTCCCCAAAAATCTCGACGATCGGTCGGATGCCATGAGACAAAGATCATAACCCATGCGAATTACATTAGGGTAAGGAACTAATGAAGTGCTTCCTTTACAGGAGATCCTAGCAGAGAGCAGCGCTTCTGCCCTCAATTCAATCATGCATGCTGTCGGCCACACACTCATGAAAACTCAGCCAAAACAAAAAATTGGCATGCAAGCATTTCTGGCCTACGTCATGGAGATACAACAATGCGGGAAACCCAACTTTCTTCTCATTGTCGTACAAAAACTCATGTTTAACTATGACTTCCCTTTGATCAATAAAATACGCTTTCTTTCGTGTTTCTCACAAGCTCCCTGTCGAAATCCTCTTGACTCAAGCCGAAATCTCCCTACGCGGGCATCTTTCTCATTTCTCCTGATAAAATGTGGTGTCTAATGAATCAACCTGGGAGGGGGGAGGGGGGAGGGAGATATGGGGACAGTAACAAAAGTGTATTACAACCGAACCGCAGGGGGAGGGGAAACCGATTTCACTCAATCATGACTGAATAATGTCTAGGGCAGATCACGCGGATTTGAAAAAAAAAACAACAGGTGTGATACAATTCAAAGGAGTAGGAAAGCGACGGATATGTGGGTGATTGACCCATATATCAAGCGAGGAAAAAAAAAAGGAAAAGAGGAAGGAAATGGGAGTGAGAGAAGCACCGGACTTCCTTCCTGCCCCAGAGACACACAGAGATCTATCAAGTCGATTCTACCGGTTCATTCACAGACCATCCACCGTAGTAAGAAAAAAAAAAAGAAAGACGGCAAAAAAAGAGAAAGAGGGTATGAATGAATGGTTCCCTCCCTCAGATTGGTGTGGTCAGTGTACCTCAGTTCCTTTTCCGGTGAGACGAGTGTGTAGGTCTACCTGTCCCCCTCCCCCTTCTCAGTCGGTCTCGACTCAATGAAGGGGATTCGAAGAAAGCCTTGGGCGATCTGGGACAGTCAAAACTATCCCCCCCTCTCCCTCTCTCTCTGACAATCACAGTCACACCAGGGCACTGACAAGGACTGTGTCACATGGTGGAGGGGAGATGAGATTACCTGGCAATCCATGCCATTGTGGAGAGAGAGAGAGAGGTAAAAAAGGGAGAGAGCATAGAGTGCAGGCCATAGGGGGCGGGGGGTTCCAGGGGCGGGACTTTCACAAGTGGTACTTCCTCTCCTCCCTCCTTTATTTTTATTTACAACTTCTTACCATGTCCCTTTTCCACTATCATGATGGTCTCCTCAATCCTTCCTGTCGCAACTACAACTTCGTGATCGTAGCACTCATGGTTTTTATGTAATTCCAATAATTTTCCCCCAGACTTTTCTGATGGATAGGACCAAAAGAAACTAGTCTAAACTAGAAGCTACGGCACGTCTAAAGACGAGGCACTCTAGGAATGTCGATAGATATCGATATCGACGCTAACGCCTTCCTCTCGCCTTTACACACTTCGTCATTCATGTACATCGAGACTAGACGATATTAAATCAGACGTGGATTTTTTTTCCCATTGAAACTTCCGGACCTCGCCCCAGCGCACTCCAAGTAATGAACTCGGTGGAAACATTAAGTAATTCGAGGAAGGGAACTAGCTTTCTCCTCGCGAGTCTCTGCTTCCTTCAGATGAAAGATTAGAGAGACCCATATTACGGGATGGTGTTGGGTTTTACAAAGGATGAGTCAAAAGGCCTTGAAACGCGCAGTAGGAGAGGAGAGAGGAGAGAGAGAGAGACCGCTCTCTCTGTCTCTCCATAGGAAGTGGGAAATTTCACGCTCTGGACGCCTCAACAATGGCAGGTGGAGCCCGCTGGATAACATGAGATGAGAGAGACCGAGCCCCATTTTCATCTCAACTCTATCCCTACATCCTCGCAACGAAGGGTAGGATTTAGACGAGGATGAGGGAAACGTCACGGTAACCTTCACCGACTGGTCATTCCCTATTGTGATGCAACACTTCTTCGGTCACGCGCCCAAGAAAATGAGCGGAAAGGGACACCGAGAATTAAATTCCCTTTCTTTTTTGGGACACGTGGCCCTTTTCCGTCAGGACTGATTATTGATTCCTTCACCGAAGGCCAAAGTCAAAGGGAAGAATCGGGGAGTCTTTACCGCAGGTGGACCAATCCTTTGTCTTTTTTTTTTAAAGAAAGAAAGAAGAAAGAGTCTGAGAGGCTGGCTAATTACAGAGCGTTGTCACTGGACCTGAACGTTATTGGACATTTTCGCTGGAAACAACAAAAGCCCCTATCCTCATCACAGTATGAAGCAATATCGGGCAATTACACGCACTGCCTTTGAGGACCTCCCCTGGAAATGACAACAAGGAAAACGAAAACGGCTTCTCTCTTTTCCCCATTCATACAGGCAGCAATGAGGCGTTGAAGCCCCTTCGGCAAAATATGTAAACCCCCTTTTCAATCTACATCGTCTGTATCGCAGACTGAATGAAAAAGGGAGAGAAGTAAAAGCAAAGAATAAAAGAAACGAACCTTTCATGAGGATGTCCAAGTGTTCCCACAAGATGTCGCCCATGTAAGGTGGCGTGCGGTCGAGGAAGGCGTCACGGCCAAGGGCGCACAGGTCGCGACCTGTCATCCCGGGGAAGCAGTGCATGGGGAGGCCCTCGAGGGAGAATTCCCTCACTGCCCATCCCAGCCATGCAGACACATCCCCTTCGTTCCACTGCCAAGGATCTGCCAAGTCACAACATATTAGCTATCTCCAGAATCATTGAGTGGAATATGTACCAACACGCATATTTCTATTAATTTTGTAATTAAAAAGTGAACTCCAAACACAGGATCAAACGCTTTCAAGATGATTTCGTGAAAGAAATACAACACATTAACTAAACTTTGCCGAAAGGCGACAGTTTATTTACTAAGAGCTCCGTTCCATGTTGGCGCAATGGGCTATGAGGGAGCTGATTCTAATGGCCAAACTGGTAATGAATTACCAAGCTGACGCCCCTCCCCCCAGTCAGGTCCAAGACATGGGAAATGCAGCGATTAAGATGGGAAAAGAGATGTGGAATCGTTCCAGTCCAAGGTCACTGGAGGATCCAAAATCTGGATGCGGCACTGAATTCCCAGGAAAATTTCAAGGTTTTCTTAACCCGTTTCACGCTGGGCCACGTTCAACTTCATGATTATCAAGATACATAGAAAAAGTAACTTCACAATTCTAACAATAACTCCACTTTTTTAAATAATGGCTTTTTGTCTCGTTGCAAGAATCCTTGAGCACCGTGTGAGATAAGCAAAGGACAATGGCACCATGAATAAATAAAATCATACTGCAGAACATATTAAGTGTGAGGTTCCGTTTGGCCACCCTGTAGATTTCGACCTGCTTCTGACACTAAATATCCTATGTTTGGAACCTGGAACTGCGAGTCATTTCATCTTCGATTGCCCTCGTGTTTCGCAATAGCGTGTCGAACATTTCCCAGTCAATTCGCCATTAACCCTTCTGATTTCTGGAAATTACTCCCTTGTTAACAATGATTTCAACCCTTTGTTCGCCATCAAGTATTCAATAAAATATCGTCATTTTTTAAATTAAATTTTTTACCTCTGAGAGCTTTCATTGAATAAATCCACATGCAGAAAGATGAGAACGACTACAAGAAAGAAAGTGACAGGAAACTGACATGAACTTTTTCTAGCAAAAATTAGCGTTATTGAATTGAAAACTATCTATAAAGTCAAATGTCCACAGATCCTAGGAGTTGCTTCGGAAAAAGAATGAGACTGGCGATGCATGATGACTAGCTCGAGTCTCCATCAACCCACACCAGGCCAATCAAAGCATTGTTCCTATACATGACGAGGCATTCGGTTAACCTTTCAGCTAACCTTCCAACCTCCACAAACCCAATTCTAACATTTCCTAGTCAACTGCAGACGCAACGTCAATTACTGAATATCGTCAACGAGTCTACCACACGTGGATGATTGACCGCAAGCCTAATACTGCACCTGAAAAACTTACACAATATTTCACGTTTTCCGTTTCCCTAGAAATGTTCGGGCTGCGACGCTACGTGCTGTATTATGGGACCATTAAGTCTGGGAATGTCAGCCAGATGAGGACAGAGCGGGGTGGAAATTGCAGAGGAGCCTAGGCTTGTAATTGTGTACTTGGGCCAGGACCGATGAAATTGCCTCCGGCTCGACCAGTTTTACCCGAACGAGGGGAAAAAAACCGCAAAATTGAACAGAAGGGGCCGCTGGCCGGTCGGTTCGAGCCATACAGATGGCGTCTATTACAGTCAAGGGGGGGTTCGATAGGCTACCGTTATGATGGAAAGGCAAGAAAGAGGAGGAGGGGGAGGGGACTTGCTCGTTATTAGAGTGGCCTTCCGCATGTGCTACACATGTAATTGGGGTAAAGGAAAGCCAGGAGTGGGCCAGGTGAGAGAAACCCCCTTCTGCATGTCATAAGGGGGGCCAGCGGCTTAACAGAAGAACCTACCAACTGTTACTTTTCCCCATTCCAAGGGCACACTTCATCAATTCTTCCAACCCACAATGGGGAGGGAAGACAGGCCAGGGTATAGCAGTTACAATGAATGTAAGACTGTCAACGACTAATGAATACCAGACTGCTAAATTTTAACATCAGACGAATCAAATAACAGGTAGCAGTTGAGAGCCACGTGCGGAAGACAAATGAACTTTTACTGACCTCTGAGTACGTTGAGTCGCTCTCTCTCCTTGTCCCAACTGGCATACGAAGCCTTCAACGCTTCCGTCATCTTCTTATTGGTCCCAGGAGTCAAAGGCGGCATCTGAGCCGGGATATCTGCAAAAGCCCGTTCAATGACTGATCACTCAAGCTCAAGCCCCTTCCCCATCGGGGGAGAGGTCAAAAACAACAAGTGCCTATAGAGACAGGGCAGAGAGCACATATGGCGAAGGAGGAGATGGCCACCTGATCTTGGGAACCGAGGGGGGCATGTGTCTTATATATTGTCTTACCTGAGTTACGAGGGCACCTGGCACGAGCCAGCCAGTCACAGGCCTTCTCCAGAAACAAATCCCACCTTCTAATGATTCCTCTAAATGTGCATCAGGATAGGGAAAAGAGTTCTCAAGGGTCTCAATTTCCTCCCGTGATCTCGTTACGACCATGATCGGATCTCTCTCTCTCTCTCTCTAGAGAGAGAGAGAAAAAAAAACGAGAGAGAGCGATTTGATCATAGGATTTGGTGGGCGGCAATCCGGTTTGTGCGCTCTTTACGCCTCATCATTACATGATACGTGCTGACATAACACATAAGACTGGGTTCTGCAGAGAAAGTTGAGTCCCATGGCTCTCTCTTTTGGAGGGTCAGTTAGATATTACAACGTCATGGGGTGAGAAACTTAATTGCGTCACGGAGAGGTAGAGAGGGAAGACAATAGTCGAAAGAGGGGAGAGAGAAGCAGGAGGCATTTGGTGGCATTGGGGGGAGTTTGGAGGGAGAGAAGCCACGAGGCGTAGAGTCCCACTCCACATGTCGAAAGGCTTCACTGACCAACCATTGAACATCATTGTCTCCTTCCCCCATAAGGTCATAAGCTGCACTGGGTCTCTCTCTCCCTACCCCCATAACAACACGTGCTTTTTTTTTCCTAAAGCCTCCCTCCCGAGCCCAGACACAATTTGGACATTGTGATCCTCCCCCTGAACGTCCTTTGACTTCTCGACCGTGGCATCCATACGCCCTTTGTCCTTGTCTCCCCCGAAAACAATGGGAATTCACACTCCCATCTAGATATATACTATCCCATAACACGAAGAGCATCAAACCATGAGGTTTTTGAAACCAGAGCCTGTAACCAATTGAACGTAGCAGACGATGAAAATGAGGTTGTGAGGCGAGCTATTGCAGGTGGTCCAAGAACACTTGTAGATCTTTTGGGAAGATTACATCAGTTTCATATCCAAGTTGAGCAACAGTAGTTTTTACGATTGATTGCACTAATTTCAAAGGGGGAGGGGGTGGTAATAAATCAATCACTTCTGGCAAAAGATTTCCGGTTAGACGAGTTGATGGCTTTGAAAAATCGAACGACTTTCGTTGAAGGCAAAAAGCCCCCTGTTCTGAGTCTTCCATGAGTACCATGTATAAGTGTTATTCAGCTGAGGTCGACACCTTTTCACTTAAGTCCGACAAGTTCGCACTACACTATGCAATGTTTGAAAGAGACAAGAAGCTCAGCCAGCATTGGGTACAAGGCAGTCAAGTGACATAAATATTGAACTAAAAAAAACTGATTAGCCCCTCGTCTCCTTCAAAGCAGACTCATTGAATGAGTGCAACTCGTGCACAGTAGTACATATTCCCATGAAACAAGCCAACACGATGAAAAACAAAACGCAAGAGATATCATGCCACTGGAATGCAAAAAAAGGTCATCATGTCTCCGAAACTTCCACTTCCAGAAACGGGAAGCATGCGTTCCTTATGAATATTCATGCAGAAAAATCCCTGGAGTCTTCTCTAGAGCACGAAAGAATATTAATTTAACCTACAAGGACACAACCTAGCACCATTTCATAATGTATTGCTTCCAACAAAAAGTTGAGGACTGTCAGTACAGCCGTGAGAAACTGGAAAGCATGGACACATATCAGTCCAGCGGAGTGATTGACAAAAACTTTCCCTGACGCTAGTAGAAAGAAAGCATCAAGAATCGATGAACACGACATAACCAGGATATCGCTACTTGCCTTTTTGGCACGAGTCACCTTTCTTCAATCGCTGAATCCCAATCAATAATAAAACGCATTCTACCAGTCAAAAACTTTAACGAGAGGAGAAAATTTGTTTAAACTCTAGATGCAGCGTGGTTCTTGGAGTCTATAGTCACTGTGTGTCACACTTCTCTACAGAAGTCGATCAACAAAAAATTAACATAACACCACATCCTGAATTCGTATGGAAATGACAAAAAAAAGCACGACACTGAAACGAAATGTTCTGAATTCTTGCTAGGACGAAATGCAAGCTTCACGTTCTAGCCCTACTTACAACAGTCCACTGAGTCTTGAAAGTCGAATAAACCGAAACCGAACGCAAGCAAACAGGATCGTCAGGGTGAGCCTCGATGCTACGTCATTCGTGCAAAGACAAGAACAGGATACATTTTTTTAAACATCATACCTATGAGACATCGTTTCTCCTCATATGACTTCGGAGAGAGAATCCCCGAGAGGGATCTCGGAATAGACTCGAGAGGGATATCAGAGCAGACTATCAGCTCGGCAAAATAGGGGGATTTGGAGGAAATTGTGTTGCTTTCGCAAGATATTGAATAATGATCCAGCATCTCGAAATAAGCTCTCATTACCTACTCTCTTTTCGGATTTCAGCGAGGAGAAGTGAGGAGGGGGGAAGGGGTTTCATCATAATCAGAGCCCCTCTCGTAATGATACAATTCACCGAAAGCTTCAGGCGTAACAAATGCTGCCACGATAGTTCCATTTGCAATGCTTCGGAAACTCTTGACATGAAATCGTGTTGGGGTAATGAGAGGAAGCCCATTACAAAAGGAATGGCTCAGATTCCAGAGTGGGATTGATCTCAGGATCGCCATTCACCTCGGCTTTCCTCATGATGAATTCTTGATTTATTAAGCAGTCATCATGACGAATACGTTTCTCAGGAGGCTGAGGGATTTCCGCTTTTTTGCGAGCCCAGAATATAATACCGCTATCTTTCCTTTTTTTAGCTTCACATGTCATGGAGGCAAAAGTCGAGCAGATATTATTTCTCATCGTGGAGCTCCCACAGACGAAGAGATGTCGAGAATCACTCTCACCTTTGAGTTTCCCAATAGGTTTGATGGTCTTAATAGCCATTGAGAGCCCTGCACGCACTCTCGGTCCTTCACGTCGGCACGCAATCACGAAACGAGTTTGATGAAAAGAGGTTCCAAAGCGCAAAGAGCGGGCGGAATGATGAATCACATGAGACTAGAGAGAGTTCACGTTCTCAGAGCGGTAACTTGGGGTGATATAACAAGACGGGAGTGGACACAGTGCGTAGGACTTCCTTCCGGTGCATGCCACTTCTCCTCGTGCGAAAAAGGGGGCGGCTTTAGGCATTTGCCTCCCGAACCTGGAGGGGGCTACAGCTACTCCACCATACATTCATTCATTCATTGAGGGAGAGAGACTGAGAGAGAGAGGATGAGGGTTGGGATTGGTGGAGAGGGTGGAGGTCCCTCCCTCCCCTCTACCCCGGAGGCTATGGGCAACCCAACCGGGAGAAAAACCTCCTCAATGGAACCCACAACTCCCTCGGCCCTAACTTATGAATGAATAGCCTCACACTGGGCCTTCACTCCCCCACCCCTCAAGGACAAAACTCTCCCTCCCACTTCTTTCTTCCTTCCTTCCTTCCTTCCTTCCGACTTTTTTTTTAATATTCCCTCTCATTCAACACCCCTATCGAATGTTCACTTCCGTTCGGCATCGGGTTCAACTAAGTCCCAAGCCGGCTGCTACAAAGACAAATGACTTTAAAAGTCCTTATCGATGACGTCATGAGTGGAAAATAATCTTATCTCGGCGATGCGCAATTGCGATGAGTCACCCGATAGGTAATCGGAGAGGCAGGGAAGGAGAACGTAATTTCCATGTCCATGTCTCTGTCCCTATGTTTCCCATCGAAGACGAAGGGGGGAAAAAAAGAATGGGGAGGAAAAGAAGAAGCCGGGGTCTTGGATTACAGATGGCTCCTTCCATCCGATTCTCCCTGTCCCGTCTCAAGTGTCACGCCTTTGTCTATCTGTAGGGTCCCAAAGGCCATGCAACAGACGACAGACAACAGACTCCAATCAAATGGACGGGAGGAGCTCCTTCATGAATGCCAAAAGGGGTTTGTTATACAAACTTTCCCCCCCTTTCTGTAACGTGATGCCCGATTCCCCACCTGATCGCAAAAGCGGACTCAACGGAAATTGCGAACCTTCTATAGTCTCAGTTCGAGCGAGAGGCCGTGAGTCATGGACAGACAAGAGAGAGAAAACAAGGCTTTGGCGCGATGATGGAGAGTACCTGCGGAGAAGCGGCGTTTCCCCGCACATGTCACGGCTGTTAGGGGACAATGCGAGGCTGATGAATATTCCGCGACAGACCTGTCCAAACTGGAGCAGAGGAAGTTTGAGTTTGTTTTTCACGAGTCAGTCCTCCCCCTTCTTCTCCTCGCAAGACTCGTTTCCAGGGCATTGCGCAAGCCCCGAAGAACTTCATCCATTGATCCGGATGTGGACTCAATGAATGAAAAAGGACTCACAAGTCCCATTCAGAGGAAGCGGATCGACCAATTAACAGACCTAGGAATCGAATTCCACGTCTCACCCGGGTGAGAAATGGACGAATTTCGTCACCTCCGATCGGACAGGGTGTATGTACACGCAATTAAGGCCGAGATTTTTCATGGAGCAATTAACGTTGTTAAAGCTTTAGCTGGGAATGGCTATCTCGTGTAACCCGACAGAAAAAACAGGTTGTGCAGGAGGATCCCTCCCAGGAGCTAATGTGTATCCCCCCAGACCATGTTTCTTGACACTTTCATTCCAGTAGATATTGCAGCCTTTCTTCCCATACTTGTTTCCCTTTCACTCTAAAAATTACTCAACGACTTCAAGATCTTCATTCCACACGAGTAGAACAAGCAACAAGTGAGACTTGTTTCCCAACATTTTGGCAAGGGAAGGCGAGAATCTGGAGAAAGCGGATGCCTGGTTTTAACCTACACGACGAAAATGGAGGGAATCCGTTCATTCATTCCCTTCTGTCTCTTTCAGCTTCCGGCGACAGGACGAGACAGACAGGCTGGCTCTCTCTGTTCCATTTTTTGACAAACGACAAGTGGATCCGAGTCTCGCTTCGACAGACAGAGAGGAAGAGGAAAATGATGATGACGTAGAGACAGAGAACAACAACGAAAAAGACTGGGGTTCTAGAAAGTTTTCGGCGGAGGGGGAGGGGGGGGGGGAGGGGAGGGGGGAGTGCGCTATGATGCATAACAAGGTCGGCGGGCTTCCTGCCTCGGACCGGAAGACCTCAATTAGAGCAAAGAACAGCTGCTCCAGACACACACCCACACCGACAGACGCAGGGAAGATCTTTCTTCACAGCACCATCCATAACTGATAATCCTACTTACCACGATGGTGGACATGATAGCGGGAGGGGGAAAGCAAAGAAAAGTCACAAGGGAGGGAGACAAGAGAAAGAAAAACAGCGAAGAGAATGAAGGGACGTGACACATGAGGCCATCATTTCATCAGTCCCAACACGCACAAAGCCATTCGGTTCATTAAGATCTCCTCTGTCTGGGAGCATATCAAGAAGCCAAAAAAGATCTGCTTTTTCTGCCACCATATCCGTTCTGGAGGGGGGTGGGGATGAGTGTGGAGTGTCTGGAGTAGACAAATAAACACAGCCGTGCCTGGAGGTAGGGACTCGTGACGCCCCGCACGTGTCTCACGTGCTTAAAACGGATTTTCGGCTGAACATTGTTGAAGAGACAGAAACAAGTGAGGGGAAGACGTATGGGAATC